GATAAGCTCTAACAATATTATAGCTAATATATATATATATATATATTAAATATATAGGGCCTATATATATATATATTATATATATATATGTGTGTGTGTGTGTATGTGTATGTGTGTTTGTGTTACGCTATTATATATATAAATATTAATACATTAGAATTAAACGATAATGAATACTCATAAACGTATAATATATTTTTTTAATACTTTTTATACTTTATAAATGAATGCCAATGCATATTTTTAGAATTACTACTATAACACATTATAGGAAAGTCATGAAGACATTAACCGGCCTGAAATTCGAAGAAACGGGCATCTAATCAAGATAGTATGAGTTTTCGAGATGGACATCTTTTTGAGATAAAGAGGAGATTTTTCCTGCCTGTAGTCCACACAGTATCAACGATCTTTATAGGTCTAACTTTGACAGTATTGAAGACTTTTTTAGTTGTTGACTGTCCACTGGCATTTAAAACATAGGCCTAACGGTGATAAATGTCTTAAACTTTAAAATGTCTTGAAACATGGGTATTATCATCCTATTGGAATGTTATGATGAGTCTAATTGTGTAAACACCAATAGTAAAGGTAATGATCTTTTTGATTTTCACTGTAAACAATTAGGCCATCTGTATGTTGTAAAAAATAAGTCGTAAGAAATATTTTGTTACTAATTACCACCTCAACAAGTCTAGGAATTTGTCAGGAAAAAATTGGTCCGGGTCAAAAATCGGTCCGGCGGACTGATTTTGGCCTCTTAATTACTTGCCAAATGTACCACTAGGCCAAAATCAATCCGCTGAAATTTATTTTACCAATTTACCAATTTTGGCGTGACAGGCCTACATTCTTTTGTTTTTTTACAATTCAGTTTTTAAAATGTTATGGTTTTTATTCAGATATTTCGGACGCACCATAAAACGTTTCTAGGTGTGTCACTGTTGTAAAATTTAGGTTCATAAAATTGATTGATTGATTGATCGATCAACTGTCTATCACAGAGCCGTAGATAGAGAGAGTTTGGCCAACTCGGTTTCAATCACGTGACTTACACCGGCCATGTTGTCACCAAAACAAAACAACGCGATAGGGTAGGAGGTTAGCAGTTATTATTATAGATGATTAATGCTATATAATGTGAAATACCGTTATGTTGGGTTTGGGGTTGCTTCAATCGATCCAAAAAGCTATACGCGCGCACGCTGTTTGGTGACAACATGGCGCCCATGCGCCAAGTTGGCCAAACTCTCTCTATCTACGGCTCTGGTCTATCATCTTGAAGAACGCCCTCTCCTTTCCGTTATAAGATCTTTGCTTTGAGGTGATGAGTCGAGTCGGTCCGCGCAGTCTTCTTTCCATTCTTTCATCTCATTCATTCTTTGAAAATGGCATCCCACGGCAGTTCAGGAGTGAGGGGAGATTTGAACGTATCAACTACATCAAAACCATCAAACCGTTTGTCTAGTTCGTTTTATGAAAAAGGGGAGACATCCTTGACTAATATATGGAAGGTTTAGAATCATTAAAAAAAAATTATATACTCATTTAAATAATAGTATTTATTCTTAGGCCCTACCTGCCGGCCTAGCTAGGACCTAGGTAGGCCAGGGCGCCTAGGCCCTAGTACTCTAGTAGCCCTAGTAGTAGTACACATAATGAGTGCCGAAGGCAGGAACAGTGGCTGGGGCAAGGGGGCCGCTAAGGGTTCCCGGTCGGCGAAGGCCCCTGGACGCTTTGGCTTGATATTAGTGAGTTTATAATAATGATCTCAGTTTTTATTTCTTTAGGTACGAGTGCCGGGCCCAAGGCAAGGATATGCCAATAATAAATAAGTGAACTTATCACTGGCCTTTTTCACGCTGCGGTAGACATCTTCGATCGATGACAAACAATTCTGAGCAGGAAGCGTAACCAAGAGAAATAACATACAGTGGTGGGGGGGCCGGGGGGGAGGGGGGGGGGGCTATAGCACCCCCCCCCCGTCGGGGAAGCATAGCCCCTCCGTCGGGGAAGACGATAAATTTTGTCGGGGAACAAACAAATAAAAAAAAATGTACATGTAATATTCGTTTAACTACCATATTGTTTGTTAACTTTTCATCAAAACAACAACAACAACAATAACAATAATAATAATAATAATAATGATAATTCAATGAGACTAATTAAAAATAATTTGCGTTCTGTTATGACAAATGCTCATTTAGATAGCCTCATGATGGTTGAAATACATCGTGATAGGTAAAGCAACCTCAACCATGACAGCGTGGTTGACAGATTTTATGCAAAATTTCCAAAATATAGAATTTCACTTTCAAGAATGAGGATTTGAAAAAAAATTAGATGGTTACATTATTGCATACTCTTTGTTTCTTGTTTTATTCAAAATGTTTTGGTTTTGGAAGCTGATTTCAACATTAGAAAGTCATATTATAGTAATTCGATGCCTATCAAATAAGTAATAAAAATTCGCCATAATTCATCAAATATCCGTGGCTTCCATGGGCCTCGCACTAGAACCCCCCCCCGTTGGGGCCTTTAGCCCCTTTGTCGGGCAGGTCCTGGCGCCATCACCGATAACATAGCGTTTTGGCCGTACTTTTGGAGGTCATGTTACTCAAAAAATAATATCCTTAACAGAGGGTCGTGTCAACATATTTTTTTCTTTAAAATGTTCGCAAAGGATTTATCTATGTACTGTGTGAATAAAAAAAGATTAACAATTTGTTTAGTCTGTCAAAACTTAACTGGAAAATAGAAAACCGATTTTGTACAGTGCATGTTGCTATTATTTCAATTAAGTTTTGACAGACTAAACAAATTTTAAATTTTTTTGTTACTCATACAGTACTTAGATATATTCTTTACGAACATTTTAAAGAAAAAAATGATGTCGATACGACCCTCCGTTAAGGAGTTATGATTCTTTAAGTAACATGACCTCCGAAAATATGGCCGGCATGCTAAATGATATCCGGTCGAACAGTGAAATAATGGCAATGTGTGTGTTAACACTACACAAAATCGGTCTTCCATTTTCCAGTTAAGTTTTGACAGACTAAACAAATTTCAAAATGTTTTTTATTCATACAGTACGTAGATGCGAACATTTTAATGAAAAATTTATGTTGACACGACCCTCCGTTAAGAATTTATGATTTTTTAAAGTAACATGACATCAGAAAATATGGTCGAAACGCTATGTTATTTCTATTGGTTACGCTTCGCTGCTCAGCACTGTTTGTCATCGATCGAAGATGTCTACCGCAGCGTTAGAAAAGCCTATTTAACAACAGGGGACTTAATGGACCAGTACACGGGGTAACCCCCTACTCTTCTAGGAGGATGCACTGGGTTCTTCAAAGTGCACACGAGCCAAATGCATACACTGGGCCTACGGTTTAAAGTCTTTATCCGAGAAGACTTGTTCTACCTCCAGAACCATTGGCAAGTGAGCCGTTCGAACCAGCGCCGATATTAGAGCTGAAGGTTACGGTGCCCCTGACTTAACCACTCAGCCAATCAACTCACCATTTACAGTAGTTATTGAAACATGGAGTAGAATGTTATAATGATGGATGTTAGTTATAGTAAAATTCATTACAAATTGAAAAAGAAACAAAATTTACACAAATTTTTGGATAAGCGTAAGTCAAGTAAGTTTTTCCGGTGTTTGTGTAAGACCGTAAGATTTGATTGGAATGCGTAAGACTTACGGCGCATGCGTACAAGTTGACAGGTCTGCGTTAGTTCGAGAGAGGCATTTATTTTTTTTGGGTGTAAAATGGACTCAATTTCGCTATAAATGTCAAACTATAGCACATGATTACTGTCAAAATATCAATAAAGACTTATTACTGTAATCTCATCAAAGTTAGAAAAATGTAATTCTTCTGGAGTACAACATTAATAGAATGTGGTGAGAATGATGTTGTTTACATTAGATTTGTTATAGCCATTTATTTACTTTTTTTGGGGTGGGAGGGGAAGAATGAAAAGAATAAATGGGAGGTGTTTATTCCAAATTCAGCTCTAGAAGGGGAGTTTATTCGAGGGGGAATTTATTCAAAGCGGAGCATTTATTTGAATAAATACTGTAATAAATAATTGATGAACATCAAAAAGGAGGGAGCGTGGCATATATTAGGAGGCCATAAATTTTAAAAGACTTCGACCTTGGTCTAAAATAGTTTTGAGTATTCATTTATAAAAATGAACATTCTGGTAAATCATAAGCAAAAGAGAAAAAGTTCTTCTGGGGAGCTAGGTGATTTGACATGGAATGGTCAATATATTCTAGATACTAAGTTCTGTTTTGATTCACAGACCCAGCAGAAGTATATTGCAGGCAACGTGAACGAGGAAACTGACGGACACGAAGAATACAAGAGGTATAAAACAACCATATATTTAATCATTTAAGTTAGGATTTAGCAATACTGTAATATTAATTTAAATAAATTTAAAAGTTAATAGAAAAAAATTTCTTACTTTTGGAGCGAATAAAAATATATAATAATTATTTTTGCTATTAATTCCTTTATGTTTGTCTAACAGATCATTTTCCTTCCTCATGTGGTTGAGAATTCACTTTTAAAGATATAATTTATGATAGGAATTGGTGCAATATGTTAAATGGATGTATTTCATTCACATACAATTTTTGATTTAATTTTACTGACTAGAGCACGTGTAAATGCTAACATTTGTTGTTGCTTTGTTTTTGCATGTACAGATCACTTTCCTTTGGTGTGGCTGAAAATTCACCAATTCCCCGTTCAATATCCAAGAATGCCAAAGGAAGCAGTTTTCTCAGAGGGCAGAAAAACCATAGTGAACGAATTCGACGATGTATCCTTTGAGTAAAAGGTTGTATTCAGAAAAAGTATTCATAATTATTACCCAGTCAGCAGAAGCTGACTGGGTTCTGTTTCATCGCAGTTTCTTCTTTCTTTCTTTCTTTCTTTCTTTCTTTCTTTCTTTCTTTACCCAGTCAGCAGCAGCTGACTGGGTTCTGTTTCTTAGCAGTTTCTTTCTTGCTTTACCCAGTCAGCAGAAGCTGACTGGGTTCTGTTTCTTAGCAGTTTCTTTCTTTCTTTCTGGCAACATTTTAAAAGGCTACTAGTGGCAAGCTACTGGACCGATTTTATTAAAACATGGTCAGTAGGACCGGTGCCATCTCCCATTTATGTGTTGTTCACAACTTGGGGTCAAAGGTCACATAAGGGGCATTAGGGTCAAAAAACCAAAAATCGTATAAAAGACTATTTGTCTCACAAATAACGTAGCACAGTCTTGTCCTTTGCACATATACATTGGCATAAGGCAGGGTCTATAGGGTGTTCAGGGATAAAGGATCAAAGGTCATTAAGGGGTAATTTTTATCTTTTTCTGGCAACATTTCAAAACGCTACTAGTGCCAAACGGTTGTGCCGATTTCAACCAAACCTGGTTAAGTATAATCGGTGACACCTTTCATACATGGGGTGTTCACTGCTTGGGGTCAAAGGTCACATAGGGGTCATTAGGGTAGAACACTTTCAAAAAAATGAATAAAAGACTTCTTCTGTCACAAATATCATAGCACAGTCTTGTCCTGGGCACATATGTATTGGAATAATGTAGGGTCTTATGGTGTTCAGCGATTTACGGTCAAAGGTCATTAAAGGGTTATTCTTTTGTTCTCTAGTAACATTTCAAAATGCTACTAATGGCAAACCATTGGACCAAATTCAATTCAAATTTGATCATTAAGAACCAGTGACACCTCCTACACCCCAGTCTGGGATCAGGGGTCACATAGGGGTCATTGGTTTAAATTTTTAAAATAGCCCAATTGAGCTCAAATTTACCAGGAATGATCTTTAGGACCTTCTAAACATGAAAAACTACTCTTCACCTATAGGTCAAAAATCACAAGGGTCACTATAGTGAAAATTATCAAATATTGCTAGTGACTAACGATTGGACCAATTGCATTAGAC